CTGGGCTTCTTTCCGCCATCGTGTGTCTTCGTTGGCACGCTCGTTGTACTTGTAGCCTCTCCAGTGGCCGTCACCTCTGTGACATCGTCTGCCTCTGTCTCTGGCGCTCTCTTCCTCTTCCTCTTGTGTACCAGCTGATTCGACACGGTCGCTGCCTGTAGCTTCGCCATAACGCAATTAGCGATTCAATGCTACCATGGTTAAGCAATGCGATTGCTTTGTCGAAATCATAGCGACTGCTCGAGAGAAGTCTGGCCGACATGACGACATCTCAGACGCGTTCGGCACGCGAGGTCACTGGGCCGACTGCAAGCACTTTGGCCGCGCTTTAGCTTCTCCATCTCGACATCAGATCTTGTGCAGCCGCACGATTTCTGATAGAGGAGAGAGGTCCAGCTATGTCTCACTGAATAGCACCAATCGGCATCGGTGGAGTTCGCTGATGAAGCATTGTCACTCAAATCCGATAAAGTATTCTTCAGATTCGGGTCGAGCTCTATCCCCTATCCGACGCACAGCCAACATACATCATGAGCACATCACATATCAAAGATACGCTAGCTGCGTTCAACCCAGCAAAGGCTGGCAAATATGAGCCTGGCTCGGTTGTTGTGTTCTTCGATCACAGATCTTTCAAATCCGACAAGGACAAGTCGCCTTTCTATCAGAACTACTGGCTAGATACCAAATCACGTATGGGCTGGGCGAGTCTGTGGCCTACGACAGATCTTGAGCCCGGGAACTTGAGACTAGTCTTCTACACAGTATGTCTTTGCAGATACCCAGAGCAGCGCTAACGATCAGCAGCATGAAGGCAACGAGGGACAAAGAGAGTATCCGTTGCATATGGCCTATGCGGTCAAGGAGATGTTTGACGATCTAGCCGATGAAGGCTTTCGTCCTATGATCATAGGCTGGAGCAAGGAGAATCCCTTTCCAATGATCGGAGGCAGTGAACCTCCAGCTCCGCCACCAAAAGCAAAGGTACGAGTGACCAAGACGTACTCCAACGCTGTATCTGGTCACTCTGAGGTAGCGGGCAACCCTCACGATCGGGTCATGGCTATCATCGATGCCGAAGAGGCTCGAGAAGCAAAACAGCGAGCTCGAGAACTCGAAAAGGAAGCAGAGACTGATACGTTGGTGTAACCTATGTGCTCTTTTTAGCCTCTCGCTCCGCCTTCTTCAACGCGCGCCTCCGAATTCCGATGTGCATTGTTCGATTGAAGTTGATGACTGTAGTGTTCATCGTACCAACGAAAGTGGCTATCGCCCAGTGCATGATCGCATGGCTCCAGTATGGTGTGCTCGTTGCGCTCATGCCTTGTGCTCCACCATGGCGACCGATCCTGCTCAATGCAGCGCGGACGAATTGCTTAGGATTCGGGATCAACAGACTTGTCCTCTTGATCTTCGACATTGCCGAGGTGACGAGGTATGACTGGACAATCTGTACGGTAATGCCATGTGGCTTGAGCTCTGATGCCAGTGCCGTGGACCATTGCTGAAGGAACGCCTTGCTGCCGGAGTATGTTGCGAGCAATGGTGAAGGAATCAAACCTCCGAAGGACGCCATAGTGAGCACCAAGCCCTTCTTACGCTTGATCATACCAGGAACAACTAGTTGCGTAACCTTGAGTGTTCCGGTGCAGTTAATTGTTATGATATCATTCATCTCCTTCTCTTCAGTTCTAGAGAACGGCACAGGGATGCTGTGGCTCTGTCCAACATTGTTGATCAGGATCGCAATGTCAAGCTCTTCCACGATCTCCTTAAGCCTGGTATAATCGGTGTCCTTGTTGGCGCTAAAGTCCATGGCTAGGACCTTTGTTTGTACATTGTGCTTAATCTCGATCTCGTGGGCGAGTGTGTCGAGCTTGCTCTGTGTTCGTGAGACCAGCAATATCGAGAAGCCTTTCCTTGCCAATTGTAGTGCGAACTCTTTACCCAGACCATCACTTGCGCCAGTGACCACAGCCCATGTACCTCGCTTGCCGAACTTAGAGAGCTGTATGGGTCAGTCGAGGTCAGTGTCTGCTGTAGAAAGACTCACAGAGACACCCGGGAGGATGAACAACGAGGCAATCATTCGCCAGAAGGACAGGATCTTCAGTGAGATCCATAATAGGCCAATAACAGCAAACAGCTGTGTGCTAGGTGCTGCCCAGCGATCGACTGGTACAGCTGTGTCCATGTTGTGTTATATGGAGGTGGGCTCAAGTTGAGTGTTCAAGCTGTGGGAAAAGTGTCGGTTGTTCTGCATCAGGAGACCGCTTGGTGAACAAATTCACAATCTTCATGCTGCGCTATCAGACGCGACATACATCACCCTTCCAACCACGTCAGAGAAGGCTCACGAACGTGCAGCATGTAGCAAAGTTGTGAACAAGCTCTTCGGGCAAATTACGCATGCCACTCGAGGCGTCACAGACGCCGATTCAGAGCGAGCACGGCGTGGCCAGCTTGGCAAGATGAAAGAGCCTCTGGGTCATCTTGAGCAAGCTATTAAGATCGCAGAGAAGAACACTGGCGATGGTGCGAAGGAGGATCTGAGACGGTTCGTGCACGACAAGGAGGTTGACCTCCAGAACTACATGCTAAGTCCGATACCACTTCTGCGCAGTCTATGCTAGCTCGTCTTCAGCTCAACTTAGCCAGAGCTCATATCGAGTAGAGCAAAAGAAGTGTGTAGGATCGGCAGAATGCTGAGACTGAGATACAGAAGATCGAGGTCAGAAAGCCATCCTCAACACAGCCGCAGCCAGGCTCTGTGTTCTTCTCAGCTCCTACTGAGCGCTCCTCAGATCGCCAAAAGGCAACTGATGTCTGTCGATCAGCTTATCGTACCGTACGAGCTCTATCAAAGGTCGCTAACCAAGACGGACGAGGTCGTGCGCCAGCAGCTTGGTTCCCTGTATCTCAACGATACAACATTAACAAGCAGTGCGCTATTCTTGCATCTCGGCTGTCCGACGGCTTCTACGACGACGATGATAACAGCAGGCCTGCTCATGGGGCATCTCTACTAGGAACTCTGCTGATGAGATGCATTGATGGCCTGATCCGTGAGCCGGGCTCGACGTCAGGACACCACGCAGCCGCCGGTCTTGTAGCCAAAGATACGATCGTCGTTCATAGCCCTGGTCCTTAGTGCAGATTTTGGCAGATATCTTGCCTGAAAGACTGTCTGCTCGCTGGCCCACCTGGCCCATTCATCGATGACTTTAACAGGATACACGGATGGATGATCGCGCTGGGCTCGCCGATCGCTCCCTGGTGGAGGACGTTCCCAATTCTCTTGCACTGGGAATGGCGATTGATCGAATGTCATGCGAAGCCCTGTCCGGGTGAGGTCGTGGTCCCAAACCTCGCTCGTGAAGTTGCCCTCCTCGATCGTAACAGTGAATAGTCTCGGTAGGAAGGCGGCTTCCTTGAATCGGCCTATGTTGGGATTGCGAGCCTGAAACAACTTCGGTGAAGACTCTGGAAGTTCAGTCGACAGAGTGATCTCCAGTCGGAATGTTCCAACAATGACTGGTTTCTCGACCCAGAACATTGGAGTTTTATGCTTGCCTATCGGCTCGATAGGCGACTCCTGGGTCGGGATGAACATCTTCCATGAGAGCTTGCCATAGCACATGATTGGTGCGGTGTTATCGCCCATGCTACTGTACTGTCAAGCTATAGTCAGCGTTGTGAGACATCAGACGGGTGCAACACTTGCCTTTCCTGTGCCATCCTGCGAGAATGAGATGTGAAAAGCATTGTAACGGACGAAGGCAGGACTCCAGCCGCCTTCGCAAAGCAGCGACCGTAGTGCCTCTTCCATGACCGCGGTAAGGTTTCGCTGGCAGAACGCTTGCTGGTTGACAGTAAGAGAGTAAGAGGACAGCCATGACAGAACCGCCTTTCAATTGTGGTGTGACGTGTCATCTTTCAGCTCGCTTTTCGAGTCCATCTCAAGACTCGACACGCTCTGCCCTCTTGTAAGGCGGAGGTTGCCTTCAAGTTCGTCCGACCATCGGACAAGATATTCTTGGTGCACTGAGGTCCAAGCTCCATTCGCGTGGAACAAGGCGAGAGATCAACAACAAACACAACTTGTCGCATTGTCCTCTGCTCAAGATACCTCTTGTACGCTCATCAAGATACCATGGCGTCGTCGATCACGTCCTATCTTCCTCCAGGAGATGGCCTTCTCCCCAAGTGGTTGCTATTCGTAGGTCGTCAAGGCAGCTCGAATCTTACGCTAATAAACACAGATCTCGATAGTGTCCATTGGCAACAGTATACAAGCATATATGTCCCTGTCTGGCACTCAGCAGGTGTATGCAGGACCAAGCGCAACTACACCGACCACAGGTATCCCGTCAAAGACCATTCGAGCTGAGAGTCTGTCGCCAGTGACACCGCTGAGCGCACGTACATTCGGCACATGGACTGCGCTGTCTTCAATCATCAGATTGTACGCAGCCTACCGCATCAACGAGCCAGTGGTCTACGAGTTGGCACTGTGGACATTTGGCCTTGCCTTCGCACACTTCATCTCGGAGTGGTTGATCTTCGGTACAGCAAGATGGGGAAGAGGTCTTATTGGACCCATCGCCGTCAGTACTGGAACTGGAGCCTGGATGCTGTCTCAATGGTCGACATACACACAATGAGATGCTAATGTTATAGCTGAAGTATGCAAGTGGTCAGCACCTTGAAGCGTTCGTCTGTGGTGCATGTGAGTCTGATCTCATCGTCTTATTCGTCCTAATTGTACGGTCCATCTGATACAAGCTTGCTGAACGCCATCCGACTGTGCTTCAACCTCCTGACTAACCAGCATTTAGCACGATTGCGCAGCCTAGGGGTTCGAGTCTGTCACGCATACGAATCGTTCCTGTTCTCATTCTTGCCACGCAACGCGCAAAAGTGTATCTCAGGTCGCTGTGCCGCCTCCGTCAACGCCAGCAGATCAGAACACCTTCCCAACGAGCAAAAAGATGTTTTCACGACCAACATGGGACTCGAACCCACAACCTTCCGCTTAGGAGGCGGACGCTCTACCATTGAGCCAATCAGCCTGGACGACATTTGCTGCGCCAGAGAGGGGAACGCTGTTCCTACGGGAAGATCCGCACGACGGCATCCGATCCTATGTAGTGCGACAAAATGGTGAGCTCCGTGAGACAACGGCGAGCTTGTCTTGTGTAGTGTGATGGGTTGGGAGGGTAGAGGCTGTCTGGAAGGTATCGCGGAGAGCGATACCTTCCAGACAGCGCTGAGGTAGTGAGATTGAGTCTCGCGTGTGGTGAGACTTTCAGGTTGGTAGTACAATCGCTTCATTCCCTGTGATGCTTCGAAACACTTCTCGAGAGGAGAGCTAGCTATAAGGAGAGGCTGAAGCGTGTGTGCAGCCGCAGAGTGAGAATACGTGCCTTTGCTTGATGTTAGCAGCATGCGCTCTTGCAGCCTACCTCGAGGCGTGTGACGCGAGTGGACATAGCAGGCATCATGAGCACAAGTGGTATTGCTCCAATATCATGTGGCCAGTATTGATCGTGGAGCTTATCTGCGGTCAGGAAATGAATGATGCGACTTAGAGCATGAAGTGAGGTTCGTTGTGCACTGCTGAGCTCAAGTGAACGGAAGGTGCTCAACGCGCTGTCAGGTGACGCGATCTGCACGCGTTTGACCAACGTCATCTAAAATTGAAGTTGGCTTGCTACACAATATGCAACAACACCCTGCAGCCCGTGTAACATTCTCACAAGCAAGGATGCCTACCACCTTACACATACGTCAATGGCGCAGTGCAAAGCTCGACTGTGTTCCTTTAGCATGAAGCTGCAGCACAAGGATCCGAAGGCAGGCTACTACGCTGACCATCAGAAGTGGAAGAGGCTTTATTACTCGATACCAAATCACGCTTGATCGAGCATGGGCAATATCGACGAGTCCAGGACGCCCTCCACAGTTTGCCATGATGAAAGGATCATGATGAGACAATCTGACGAGGCTAGTGAGGGCGAGGTGCGATGAAGGAGCGCCAGGCTCTGATGTGATGAGAAATCTACGACGATGCAAAGCATTCACATGTTCACTCATCACATTGGAAGAGCGAGAGCAGCATTTGCTCCAAGCTCTCCCCAATAGGTCATGAAAATGCCTCACAGCGTCGATATTACACTCGGTGAGCGACGCAAATTTCGGGCAACGTCTTCGATGTCCTGGACACAACGTCGAATCCTCCAATATAAACTGAGACAAGAAGCTCATGGACCATCTCATCTAGTATCTCAGATGCATGGGACCGTGTGAAGTTCCTCGGTACCTGACGAGCTGGAGGACTGTCGGCGTCTCTGGCGGCTTGCTCGAGATGGTCAGGCGTGTGGAGTAACTCTGCAAGTGTGGCTCCTCCTCCACGATCCACACTTCGCCTCATGATCTGCTGCACTACGGCTAGTCCAAGGCACGAGCTCTTCGCATAGCTTACTTGTTATGTGTCGTTCTAGCTGCCACCACAAGCTTGCCTCGCCATCATGAGTGCAAATGGTCTGGCTTGATTCGCACCAATGTCAAAGTCAGTACGAAGACCTGACCATTTGCTCATTGACCGCGATTTCTGAATAGCAAGATGAGCCAAGACCCTTACGAATATGCATGACTACTCCAGCGGTCCTCAAAGCATGGTCGTCGCCGCAGGATCGCTGCATACCCACGAGAGCAAAAGTTTGGATGCCATGTGTTCAACAAGCTCTCTCAGATTTGTACCAGGTACAAGACTGCAGATCGGTGCATCTAGGCCTGGATCGTGCACGTTCCTGACAGCTCCTCCACTAGTTTTCAGATCTAGCACGAGAGACTGGCCATATGCTCTCCGCGGTGGTTTCGCAACTGTTGGAGTCATGGTCGGTGACAAGCGCAGAAATAGCGGCGATCTACGCCGCTGTCTGGAAAGCGAGCCATACTAATTCCGGTCACATCTCGAGGTCAGTCGTTCAGACCAGCCTTGCCTGCCAGCGAAGCTCACGTTCAGCGAACTCAGGACAACTTGAACGGGACAAAAACAGCAGGTACTGTCGACATGCGTTCACTAAGCACATATTAGCTGCGATGATCAGTAAATCATGCCACGCGAGCTTGCGAGGCATTCTCGCGGGTGTGTCTGAACTGGCAAACTCGCAATTAGTATTCACATGCGTATGATGAATGCTGTACAAGGATGGTGGCATCGCTGACGATGCATCAAGCTCATTCAGTGGCTTCACGATGCCCCCAGAGCATCATACATCAGTCGGCTGGCTCTGTCGACTTCTCTGACAGCTGATTACTCGTGAACAGCCAAATGGAGTTTTCCCGAGGCAAGGTGGTTGTCACGAAGAAGGTTGACACTACCGACAGAACAGACTCTCGGCTAAGCACTCACTTCTGGGGTAGCGTGCGGAGGTCACGAGTTCCATGTAATTCGACTACAAATCACCTGGCAGAATATGTTACGACTACTGCTCTGGCTCAAGCAGCTAGGGCCATACTACACCATTTTCGACGAACGTTGCGCATCACCAGTGGTCCGTTGACGCCCCTCCCTCAAAAATCTTTTTACCGTGCCCATATCTTGTCGAGTCAGCTTTGCGGCGTAACAACGCCTCGTCAGGCACGCGATGTTGCTAGCCAGACAGCTAAGGAAGACCTCACATCGTGCCAACATGGAGGAGACGCTTCACGCTCAGTCCGGCCGTATGGCAGCAGTAGCTGTTGCCGAGACCTGAAGCTGAGCAGTCGTGAACATTAGAAAGGTATCAACAGCCTGGAGCATAACGATTTGAAGAAGTTTATGACACGCACAATTGAGAATGGCTAGGGTCTGCTGAACGTGCTGCACCCTGCACACAGGATGTCCACAGCCGCAACGAGTGCTGAAGCCTTCTGCAGGACTAGTCAGGCACAAGGTACGGCTCTGTGCGAGCCTGCACCATCTAAAAGTCTAAAGTCTAGCATCTCGCCCAGCAAACGTGCTAACAGAGTGGGCAGAACCAGCATTATTCATGGGCCAGGCTTAGCAACACTATCGCTGAAGGATGAAATGAGAAGGACATGACACAATGGCTGACCTAGAATCACATCGTCAGTGTGGGACTGCATTTAAGGCAGTACGCCCATACCTTCTGCTCTTTCGTTGCTACGTGTTCCACTCTCGCTCTTGTGTCCAGACAATCATTCCAAGATGCGGTTCACTTCAGCTTTCGGTGCAGTCGCAACCTTTGTTGCTGTTGCCTCTGCACAGACAAACCCAGGAGACGCCAGTGACGCGGATGTCGCCATTGTGGCCCAGCAGCTGTCCAACGTCGGTGTCGCTGCACTGAACTTGGACTACGCAGTCACCAACTTCACTGGACCAAGCAGTGGGCCAGCTCTGCAATCGTCCTCCAACGATGTCGTCACAGCACTGACGAATGGTATCAGTAACATTCAGCCTGTCCAGGGTAACATCACCATCACTCAGGGCGTCCAGCAGTTGCTTACACCAACCAACCTCCTCAACAGCAACGTGACAGCTGCTGTGAACGATACCATCAACAGGAAACAGCTCTTGGTCGACTCTTGCTACGGTCCAACCGTCTTGAGCACACTGAACCAGCAGTACAACCTCTCCTTGAGCTTCAGAGATGCGATCGCCTCGAAGTTCGCTGAGAGCAACCGTGGTCTGGTCACCAGTCTCGCAGCAGTCAATCGATCAGTTGAGCTACGCTATTGGCAACTTCTCTGACCAGACCGCACTGCCAGCAAGCTGTGTCCCTACCTCGACCGCTTCTCCAACTATGTCAGCCACCCCGTCTGCTCTGCCAACTACCAGCGATGCAGACCTAGCTCTTGTCATTCAGCAGTTTGTCAACATTCGCGATGCTACCCAGCTGCTCGACAACGGCATCGTCGCTTACACAGGACCAAGCGACACTGCAGCTCTCGAGGCTGCATCTGACAACACCACCTCTCAGATCAACAGCGGCACAACTGTAGTCAACGGTATTGGACCATACATCACCCTCGGACAGGCAGCCTCGCAGATCCTTCCACAACTCAATCTCCTCAAGGATCTTGTTAATGTGACTGTCACCAATGCTACCACTGCCAAACCACTGTTCGTCAGCTCATGCATTGGCCCAACCATTCTGGCCGCACTTCAGCAGCAATACACCGCCGCAGATGCATTTGCCAACGCTGTCGCCAACAAGATCGACCCAAGCTACAAGTCTTTGGCACTTTCGCTCTCGCAGCCCGTGTTGGACTCGCTGAACCAGGGCATTGCAGCATACCAGGATCAGACCTCACTCCCAGCTAGCTGCACAGCAACCAGCTCTGTGGTCTCAGTCGCAACTTCGAGTGCTGCCCCATCGATCGTTTCGTCAGCATCTCAGCCTGCCACGATCAGTGCAGACACGTCAAGCATAGCTGCGTCAACATCATCGGTGGCATCCTCTTCAACGGATGTTGTTGTATCGTCCTCGGCAGTTGTTGCTGCATCTTCTTCCGCTGCCGTGTCTTCCTCTTCGGCTGCTGCAGTCGTGTCCTCCTCCTCAGCTGCTGCGGTTGTATCTTCCTCCTCGGCCGCAGCAGTTGTCTCTTCTTCCTCAGCTGCTGCAGTTGTCTCTTCACAGCAGGTTTCGACTAGCGCTTCTGCCAGTGTTGCACCACCACCAGCATCCTCCTCAGCATCACGCCGCTCGGTGGCCAGCTCAGGCGTGTCCTCACCATCCCAAGGTGCGAGCACCATCCGCGGATCAGGCTCCAGCCTCGCAGTCCCAACATCTGCATCTGCATCTGTGGCCTCAGCATCAAGCTCAGCCTCAAGAGCAGTGTCGGTCTCAGTTCCAGTATCATCACCAAGCCTGCTCCCAACCAGTGCTCGTGCACCGTCCAGCACTGGTACTGTCGTGCCACCTGTCAGTTCACCATCCTCGACTTCTCGTGCAGTCTCAGGAAGCGCACCAGTCTCGACACCAGTCAGTGTACCAGCGAGTCGTGCAGCCAGCACTGGTAGTGTAGCACCACCAGTCAGCTCACCATCCTCGACTTCTCGTGC